ACTGAAGTGTCTACATGGCGATGTATACTTACACTCATTGAAGTGTCTACAAGGCGATGTGTACTAACACTCACTGAAGTGTCTACATGGCGATGTATACTTACACTCATTGAAGTGCCTACATGGCGATTTATACTTACACTCACTGAAGTGTCTACATGGCGATGTATACTTACACTCACTGAAGTGTCTACATGGCGATGTATACTTACACTCATTGAAGTGCCTACATGGCGATGTATACTTACACTCATTGAAGTGTCTACATGGCGATGTGTACTTACACTCACTGAAGTGTCTACATGGCGATGTATACTTACACTCATTGAAGTGTCTACATGGCGATGTATACTTACACTCATTGAAGTGCCTACATGGCGATTTATACTTACACTCACTGAAGTGTCTACATGGCGATGTGTACTTACACTCACTGAAGTTTCTACATGGCGATGTGTACTTACACTCACTGAAGTGTCTACATGGCGATGTATACTTACGTTCACTGAAGTTTCTACATGGCGATGTATACTTACACTCACTGAAGTGTCTACATGGCGATGTATACTTACACTCACTGAAGTTTCTACATGGCGATGTATACTTACGTTCACTGAAGTGTCTACATGGCGATGTATACTTACACTCACTGAAGTGTCTACATGGCGATGTATACTTACACTCACTGAAGTTTCTACATGGCGATATATACTTACGTTCACTGAAGTGTCTACATGGCGATGTATACTTACACTCACTGAAGTGTCTACATGGCGATGTATACTTACACTCACTGAAGTGTCTACATGGGGATGTATACTTACACTCACTGAAGTTTCTACATGGCGATGTATACTTACGTTCACTGAAGTGTCTACATGGCGATGTATACTTACGTTCACTGAAGTGTCTACATGGCGATGTATACTTACTCTCACTGAAGTGTCTACATTGCGATGTATACTTACACTCACTGAAGTGTCTACATGGCGATGTATACTTACACTCACTGAAGTTTCTACATGGCGATGTATACTTACGTTCACTGAAGTGTCTACATGGCGATGTATACTTACACTCACTGAAGTGTCTACATGGCGATGTATACTTACACTCACTGAAGTTTCTACATGGCGATATATACTTACGTTCACTGAAGTGTCTACATGGCGATGTATACTTACACTCACTGAAGTGTCTACATGGCGATGTATACTTACACTCACTGAAGTGTCTACATGGGGATGTATACTTACACTCACTGAAGTGTCTACATGGCGATGTATACTTACGTTCACTGAAGTGTCTACATGGCGATGTATACTTACACTCACTGAAGTGTCTACATGGCGATGTATACTTACGTTCACTGAAGTGTCTACATGGCGATGTATACTTACTCTCACTGAAGTGTCTACATGGCGATGTGTACTTACACTCACTGAAGTGTCTACATGGCGATGTGTACTTACGTTCACTGAAGTTTCTACATGGCAATGTATACTTACGTTCACTGAAGTGTCTACATGGCGATGTATACTTACGTTCACTGAAGTGTCTACATGGCGATGTATACTTACACTCACTGAAGTGCCTACATGGCGATGTATACTTACGTTCACTGAAGTGTCTACATGGCGATGTATACTTACGTTCACTGAAGTGTCTACATGGCGATGTGTACTTACACTCACTGAAGTGTCTACATGGCGATGTATACTTACACTCACTGAAGTGTCTACATGGCGATGTATACTTACGTTCACTGAAGTGTCTACATGGCGATGTATACTTACGTTCACTGAAGTGTCTACATGGCGATGTATACTTACGTTCACTGAAGTGTCTACATGGCGATGTATACTTACACTCACTGAAGTGTCTACATGGCGATGTGTACTTACACTCACTGAAGTGTCTACATGGCGATGTGTACTTACACTCACTGAAGTGTCTACATGGCGATGTATACTTACTCTCACTGAAGTGTCTACATGGCGATGTATACTTACACTCACTGAAGTGTCTACATGGCGATGTGCACTTACTGACACTGAAGTGACTACATGGCGATGTGCACTTACTGACACTGAAGTGTCTACATGGCGATGTATACTTACACTCACTGAAGTGTCTACATGGCGATGTGCACTTACTGACACTGAAGTGACTACATGGCGATGTGCACTTACTGACACTGAAGTGTCTACATGGCGATGTATACTTACACTCACTGAAGTGTCTACATGGCGATGTGCACTTACTGACACTGAAGTGACTACATGGCGATGTGCACTTACTGACACTGAAGTGACTACATGGCGATGTGCACTTACTGACACTGAAGTGACTACATGGCGATGTGCACTTACTGACACTGAAGTGACTACATGGCGATGTGCACTTACTGACACTGAAGTGACTACATGGCGATGTGCACTTACTGACACTGAAGTGTCTACATGGCGATGTGCACTTACTGACACTGAAGTGACTACATGGCGATGTGCACTTACTGACACTGAAGTGTCTACATGGCGATGTGCACTTACTGACACTGAAGTGACTACATGGCGATGTGCACTTACACACATTGAAGTGTCTGCACGGCGACATGCACTTATGTCTTTTAGCGAAACATGCATATTCTTAGCTTGGCCATGGCTCAATGTGTATAGTCTTCACGCTCCGTGTTCCATCCTAGTTGTTTGTGCTTGCTGTCATTGTGACCTTGCTTCTTATGTGAACATGACCCTACACAGCTAATGGCCTGGGATGGTGAAGGCACATATGATATAGGACAATATTTGTGACAAGCATCAAGTTTTTGACGCAAAATATGAGTCAGTGGATTCATAATGTGGCAACGTTTGGAGCAAGGACGAAAATCGCAACACTGAAATTATATCACATGCGTAAACTACATGTACGAAGTAGTGATTGTTAGTAGAGGCTTTACTTGTTAAAAACATAGTGAAAGCATATCGTATTCGATAGTCAGTTTTGTAATTCAGCGTTTGATTCTTCTTGGTAACATTCGATTTGTTTTACTATTTATTCAAAAACATATCACCTCTATTAATACACATCTACTTAAGTGTTACGAAACGTCTGGAAAGTAATCAGTCAGTGCTCCTGTTCGTCCCGCACGATTCGCATTTGAAATGAACTATGAATAACAACTTGAGATAGCGTAGACTGGTGCGATGTCTCCTGTAACAATATACTGTGACGACATGTCTTGGTGGCGGTGCAGAGGCCATCTATCTATCTATCTGTCTATCTGTCTATCTGTCTATTTATCTATCTGCCTACACATCTGTCTATCTATCTGTATTGTATCTGGTGGTTTCGAAAGCATGACAGTGGACTACAGAGGGATAATGAGGTTGGTGATTTGATGAAACACATGTATGTTACTTCTGTATATAGCTTCTGTTGATCTCGAACTGTAGTTTGCTTTAGTGATTCGGTGGTTACTGTGTGTAATTTGATAGACACGTACACATGTAAACAGCCACGTAGTGCTGCAATGATATACACGTATGAACATAAACAGACACGTGATGCTGCAATGATATATACTTAAACATATAAACAGACACGTGGTTAAATATGTTAATTATATATATAGTAACAGCTGAAGTTATCATAGCACGGTACTGGAATGCATTATGCCTTATAAAAGTTTCAGATACAATATCTTCCGATCATTGCATCAAAAGCCTGTAAAGTTAGTCTGTGAAGTTGGTCTCTGAAGGTCGGCTGAATCGTCACAGGCTCTACAGTTCGCTATGTAGAGTTGCGCCCCTTGGGCACACCAGAAACCTACGATTGTTGGTTCAAATGCCGGTTCGCCCCGGTTATAAAACCCAGAAAGATAATATGTATAAACATACATGTAGGGGATGTATGTATGTATAATTCCAATATGTATATGTAAGAGCCAGTATTTGCTGAAGCTTTTTATAATCATATACATATATCACATGACCTGTAGTATTTGATTTCTTGCATGTTTGGTATATTTACCCGTGTCTATTTGGTTATATAATATGGAATGTGTATTACGACTAGGAAAACAAAACAACTTTCTCAAGTCTCAAATACAGTTAGTTAGTTAGTTATTTCTCAAGAAATTAATTCGCACCTGAATATGATTTTATTCAGCTTTGAAAAAAAGCGTGCATTAAACGTATGGCCCCATGAAGACATTTGTATTTGTTGATTCGACCATGCGCATGTCTTCTGTCAATGTGCGCAGCTTTCTCTGAGATGAGTAAGAATAGATAAGATGTTCAATACATCAAAAACACAAATATAATCAAGTTATAAGCATCTGTATTCAAGAACTATCTTTATACTATGAGTAGCCCGACAGGCGGCTGAGACATGTCATGCGGGCTATTGGAGTTGAGGTATGTTAACTCTTGCATTAGTGTTGTTAGGGAAGGAGACGGTTCGAACGACTCTCTGTCAGTCCAGGGAATTACTTGCTCCAATACAGGAGTTCAGGTTACTGCGGCGAGGACGGTTGTCCTGATCAGATTTCCGTTATAATTGATGTACTGAACGTTTAATATGCCGCAATATTCTCTAGATCTACGCGAGATCAAAGGCTAAGTAGTGCCAAACATCACGGACTTGATGCGGAAAATATATCAATCATAAATTATGTCAGTGTGCAATGTGTTTGGATGCATTTTAGATGCTTCGCCACAGTAAGAAGGGTGTACTCATCTGGGCACTCAATAGACATAGTGTAGTGTATACAGTTGCACAGCGTTAACGACGCAACATTGCGAATGACTAGCTGATGACCACGGAAAGTCCCTATGCATGTAAAGTTATACATAATGTGCAATTCTATTGTATCTTTATGAAACAGTGCCATCTTCAACACTTCAGTAATAACGTATACTATATATTGACCAATGTTGATTTGGTTTTGTATAAATGTTACTTACCCACGTTGATGACTGGGAAATGGTCTGTTTCAGGGGTCTGTACAGAGACAAACCCAGACGTCGGGGAGCCAGCACAGCGGGCAGGGGATTATACACTTTTACAAACACTGGCTATTTGTGGGGCTATGGTGACGGGATATCAACAGACAGCGATGTAGAATTAGTTAAAACAACGTGGCTTCCGGAGGCTGGCAGATATAATACAACGTAAGAAACTTCGTAGATGTGTAATGTGCGCAAGAATAGATGAACATATTTATCTCCAGACAATTTGCTCTCTGGCAAAGATACATTTTCCCAACTATCCCCTATTATTATCACTGATACCACCGTTTGTTAGGACGAGGGCGTGAGAGCCTCTGCTGCCACCAAGTGGTGCGATGTTTTATAGCGAAGGGAAGATATGACATTAGCATCAAGTGATATATTGTATCATAGCGAAGGGAAGACATGGCATTAGCATCAAGTGATAGAATGTATTATAGCGAAGGGAATATATGACATTAGCATCAAGTGATAGAATGTATTATAGCGAAGGGAATATATGACATCAGCATCAAGTGATATGATGTATTATAGCGAAGGGAAGATATGACATTAGCATCAAGTGATAGAATGTATTATAGCGAAGAGAAGACATGGCATTAGCATCAAGTGATAGAATGTATTATAGCGAAGGGAAGATATGACATTAGCATCAAGTGATAGAATGTATTATAGCGAAGGGAATATATGACATTAGCATCACGTGATAGAATGTATTATAGCGAAGGGAATATATGACATTAGCATCAAGTGATATGATGTATTATAGCGAAGGGAAGATATGACATTAGCATCAAGTGATATAATGTATTATAGCGAAGGGAAGACCTGGCATTAGCATCAAGTGATAGAATGTATTATAGCGAAGGGAATATATGACATTAGCATCAAGTGATAGAATGTATTATAGCGAAGGGAATGTATGACATTAGCATCAAGTGATATGATGCATTAAAGCGAAGGGAAGATATGATATTAGCATCAAGTGATATGATTTATTCTAGCGAAGGGAAGACACGGCATTTCTATCTTTCTATCATATATTCATAATGTATCATTTTCCCAGACTTGTCGAGGCACATCGTGGCGATGAACGTGGCATCAGTCGTGTGAAACCCCCACCACTAGGAGAGGTATTATGTTCATTATGTTCAGATTGGTAGTAATGTGTAACTATCGGGTAAATTAGTAGTTACGAAAACTTACACGAGATCAGCTATTATGTTTAGCCCATGTGTAAGTTCTAACGTTTCGAGTTTCGAGCCGAGGAAATTGCTCTAGATTAGGGACCGGCCATTTGACATTCGGTGAGGGAAGGGGGAGGAGGGGATTGACTGGAATAGAAAACCAGATACATTTTTAATTAGAACTATGAGCCAACATGACATCTTGCAACAAACGATGTTTTGTGGCAGACAAGTTCCATTTTCAACAGCCTTAAGCTTTTTCAAGCATTTCCTATGGGACAGTTCCGACAATTTGGTTTACTGCATCATGGTTTTCTTGTATTCATATATATACATATATATATATATATACTGTTTGCGTCCAATATTTTGGCAGATCGAGATTCTCCCGGACATTAGAATCTATGACAACGCTGACGTCTATACTTCGGCTGCCAATGCAGGTTAGACTTTAACGTTCTGCGTGGGATGCACATTACATCAGTAGTCGGCTCCAAATCAAATTTATTGTCTCGCCTTCTTTTTTCTCACTACTAAATCACATCTGCCATTTACACACTAGAAACAGGAATAAGACGAATGTACACTTAATGGGGAGGTACTGCTACAGATTATATGTTTACTTGGAGAAGGAACCTAGAATTCATACATGCATGCTGCTTCTGCTTTGATAAATTAAAGCGACATAACCGTTTCCATATTAAATAGAATTCTCTATTATAAGCATAGTCGATTGTTCAAGTCCGACTATATCATGAGCATGTGTTTATGAATCGCTATGAAATAGTGAGGATACCAGGTGAGCGTATCCTTCCCCACCGGTGGCACCCGTCACAAATACATGTACATTCTCCTGACGCCAATGCCGTATACACAGGAAAAGACTACTGATAACGCTCACTGATCGCATCGGTTTTATTACCTTCCTTTATAGAGAACAAAGTATGGACGATGGTTTCTGTATATACAATATGCCCATAAACGGGAAGTTTTCAAAGAATATGAGTTAAGGCAAATATGATAGATGATATTCATATTCACACATTCTTTATATTTTGGGTTTCACCCGAAGATTAGCTTCGCTTAAACATATCTATTGCCATTTTTTCAGACTCTGGTATAGCCTATGACATGTCTAGCAGTACCGAAAATTCGGATGTTCTGGATAATTTCATCCTCCAACCAACGCATGCAGTTTTACAGTTTGAGGGAACGTCTGGTGATACAAATCGTGACCGGAATTGGTGAGTGGTTAAAATGCCAGTGGGTCACGAGATCATACGAATCGAATAGATTTAATTGATGCCGCGTCTGAATTAAAATATTGTCTATTCACAGGGACACATATTCTGCAAACAGTGTGACTCTGGATGTACAGCATTTTCAGGAGTTAGTCCAACCATCATCGCGCTCAGATACCTCCCCATCTGGCCATCAGCAGTTGTGTACTAATCCAACCCTTGCCAATCCTTGTCAACAGTACATTATATCAGGAGATGAGAATGTTCCCAATTCACAGTGGGACCTTTCGGTCCTTCCATCCGAGGCAACTGAGACTACTGATGTTATCATAGAATCCTCTCAGAGTCCTCTTGTACGAGATTCCAATGATCCTTTGTTGGTGGGGGAACCAGCATATGGTTATAGACACGGCGACCTTGCACACCAGGGCGTGGAGGAAACAACACTTAAAGAGTATGACTCACTAGAATCCTCGGGAGAACATAGGAGAAAGGACACCTTAATTACAACTGCTATGGAAGGAGAATCCAATGCAGAAGATGCAATAAACACAACTCCGGAGCTTATTGAACATGTGGCACTTGCTGTGAAGGAAGGACCTATCGAAGATGGCGTATTGGTACCACAGCCACTTAATGTAACCAATATGACACCATTAGCAACCGATCGTTTACTGTCACAAAGCAATGTGGTAGAAGATAATGCCGCCTCATGTGATGTGCCGACCTATGTGAGCTCGGCCCGTTTACAGCTCCATGTGGGTGGTCCAACTGATAGCATGCCACAGAGAAATGCAGACACAGACATTGATGAGTTTATTGAGAATGCTCCTGATCCGGAGTCTGATGGGGCGAGTATACACTCTTCAGACCTGTTCACAGACAGCGGGGATGAAACTCAGGCACCACTGTTCATGTATGACCAGGACAAGAAAACAGCTGTGTTGTATTGATGTATACACTGGCTGTCCATGTATTGACGCGGTGTTGTATTGATGTATACACTGGCTGTCCATGTATTGACGCGGTGTTGTATTGATGTATACACTGGCTGTCCATGTATTATGCAGTGTTGTATTGATTCATACACCGACTGTCCATATATTGATGCAGTGTTGCAATGATGTTTACAGTGGCTGTCCATGTATTGATGCAGTGTTGCAATGATGCATTCACCGACTGTCCATATATTGATGCAGTGTTGTATTGATTTAAGCAATAACAGCTTTGTTGTGATCTCCTCTTGACATAACATATGACATTATTATGATTCACTGCCACGGTTTGGAGAACATTTGACACGAACAGAGGCTAAAAGAATCTGTCCAAATTATATATTTAGTCACATTACCAGTGGCAACCCAATCGCAGTGTTGATACATGTTTGCCAGAGAAACTCAACATCAACAATATTTCACACCTAGCGAATCCACTGTGACTGCCAGTGTTGTCCTCTATTGAGGCTTGCCGGCCAGGGTATACTGAATTACTTCCATTCTGAGCCATACTAGTTCCGGATACCATGACTGTATATATGTGTATATATATATATATATCCTTGCCAGTGGAATTTTGCTTTCACACAATGAATATCTGACTTCCGATATTAATGGAATAGTATGTGCAGTCGCAAGCATTTGCCCAGGCATGTTGGAGATCAGGCAGTTCCCCATGTTTGTTCATGATGTGAAAGTAATGTTTCCGAATATACATTATTTTGATTGTGAATCTGAATGTCCATTGTATGAACTATTTAGGCCACTTAGACGTTAGTCTCCTCATTGCCATATAATAATAACATATTTTCACTCCAGTGTTTAGTATTTGTTTTGTATTTGTAATGTTTTCACTTTATAATAAATGATTGCATATTATTTGATGACAGAAGAACTGTGTTGATGTCATGATACTCATATGAGTGTTGATACATGGTTGTGAAATACACATCAGTATATCTACATGCCATACAAGTGATCTATACCAAGACGACTTTCGATGGTCGTGAGTTATGGTTACATGAAATGGTTTATTTCCCATATCAAAGAGCACTTGTTTGCTCTCTGATGGTAGCTCGTGGGGACGAAGACAAAACTCAGGGTTGGTTTGTTGTTTTACGCTGCACTCAGCAATATTCCATCTATATGACGGCGGTCTGAAAATAAACGAGTCTGGTCCAGACAATCAAGTGATTCACATCATGAGCATCGATCCACGCAATTGGGATCGATGGCATGCTTCAACCGAGTCAGCGAGCCTGACCACCCGATCCCGTTAGTCGCCTCTTACGACAAGCATAGTCGCCTTTAACGGCAAGCATGGGTTGCTGAAGACCTATTCTAACCCGGATCTTCACAGGTCTCAAAACTCAGGGATGAAGTTTAAGAAGACAGCAACTATGTTTGCTGCTGCAGGTTGAAACAGGTCGAAAAGGTACACGATGATATAAATCACGTGACAGAACGCACATCGGGAAAGAGTGGCCAATATTCCATGGGCGGAGACTCGCTCTGTCACTAACACATTGACAGAAAGCCGGACGGCGATTCTTCTTCGTCGACGTAGGTGGTGAGGCGGTGTTCTTGGCCGACGTCACGACAAGCCGTACAAACCGTCTGCTTCTGTTGATGATTTGGGCCGTCTCCCTGACTGACCATGTCAGTCATGTTTTGTTGGTAGAGGAATAACACCATGTTGTGCACGGTCAGTGACCCACGTAAATGCATACGTAAGATGTGTCATGTATAGATAGTGCGTGGGATTAAGGGTCCAGTAATTAAAGGGGATACGCCGAATGTTTGATGTATACATTGATGTTTCGGTGCACTTTGAAAACAAATTGAAGGTTTTGCATACATGAGGTTTTAAAGAAACAATTTGAAGTGGTTTGAAGTGGTTTGACCCATATTAAGGAATGTCACTGAGTACGCTTTGGGACTATTTTTACAGACTGTTTGGGACTACTGTAAATTGATGTTACTCGGTAGATGCTGCGGAATCCATATTCCTAATGGATGACACTGGAAACTTAAATCAGGGTAAACAAGTTCATACTTGAGAAACTTGCCGATTTCGATGGAAAGTTTGAGGCGCAGAAATGGTAGACAGCATTGTAGTGCTGTGTGATGTCGCTTTAAAGAAACTCCTGTTGTTTGGTTCACGAAGATATAATACTTATATATATGCACAAATGGTAGACAGCCTTGTAGTCGTGAATGATATCGCTTTAAAGAAAGTCCGTCGTTTGGTTCACGAAGATATGATATTTATGTATACACATGCACAAAGGTTAAGCGCCACCCACCATATTTGTGAGCTGTTACTTTTTGCACTTAATGATGACTATTATAACGAGATGTACGATTGTTATAAGCCGTATATGTAAACCGACTACAGGCCGGCCAAGGAAGAGTGGCAATAGCTTCTTGGCGCAAATAAGCCAAAACTGCCCGAGATCTGTGTGGTCTAGCATTGTCGTCCATGTAAACAGGTCTTGTCTGAAAAGGATGGTTGTCAAAATGAGGGACTACCACTGGACGAAGAACGGCATCTTCGTATTGTTGGCCATTCAGGTTTCCACGAATTTTCACCAGCGGAAGTTTGCAGCCGAAGGAAACACAACCCCATATCATGACAGACCCCCCGCCACATGCTAAGGTCTTCTGGGTGTTCCTTGGTGCAAAACGTGTGTTACGTTGCCTCCAAACACGTATTCGACCATCAACAGTTCGTAGCAGCATTCGACACTCGTCAGACCAATGGATCCTTCTCCAGTTGGCCAAGTTCCATCGACTACGGGCACGACACCATATCAGACGAATCCGCATGTGCCTCTCAGTCAGTTGAAGACGTTTTACTGGTCTTCTGGCGTTATAACCAGCCGCTCTGAGGTGACGCCTGACGGTCATCGTCGAGAGTCTCTGATGGGTAATCCACTTCAGTCCTAAATCTGTTGAAGTGGCAAATGGATTTCGTCTGACTATCCTGAAAAGACGTCTATCCTCTCCGTTAGAGATCTTTCTTGGCCTACCAGACCTATGCCTGTCATTGACATCATTGGTTTGACCATGTTTGACAATCAAACGAGTGATAACACTGTGATGTCGACCCATTTGTCTTGCAATGGCCCTGCATGATATGCCAGCATTTTTCATGCCTATCACTTGCCAACTTTCAGCGTTTGTTAACTTTCTCCTCACAATGGCTGATTTTCAACCTCTATTGGAAGGGGAATCTCACACAGGAGCAAAATGCAACCACGTGTCGGAAACTTGAATTTCACTATTTATAGGGTAGGGGAACTGCAGCAACACGTAAATCACGCTTTCCTTGTGGTATATGGACACATTTGGGTTCATGAAACTATGGAAACCTAATTCAGTCATACATTATCATATTTCGTATTTCTACTTCCCAAACGTGAAATCAAGAGACTATGAATATGGTGGCGCTTAACTCCTGTGCATGTGTATATTATAAATATTATTTTGATTTATGATTTACATCTGTCACATTTTCTCTCATAGCAACATCACTGTCATGGACGTATGTCAAAAAAAGTTTCAAATTATTGATTCTGTGCAGTAAGCCTGTTTTTTATGTGTTTTCAATAAATACGTAATTTCCAGTTAATCAACACACGGACGGACAAGTCTTCAAAGGCGCTGCGGTGCAGAGTTGCGCCCCCACACATCCATATGTACAGTGCCTTGCCCCATATCAGCCAATTTCACACGCTCCGAAGCATTTAAGTAGAGTGTGCATCAGCTCATTTGGTCATTCGTCTGATCTATCATGTCAACTTTCATTGACAAAACCCATACCTGGTAACAGATGACGGATCGACACGCCCTAAAAGATGGGTGGTGCATCAACATTATCAACATCGGATGTGATCACCATTTGTATTGATACAGGCGAGGCAACAGTGGCGCATTGAAGACACCAGATGATTGAAAACAGCCAGAGGGAAATTGTTACTAATGTCAACCAAGGATTGATCTAACTGAGCTAGCGCTACCGGTTGCTTCTGGTCCTGTCGTAGGCTTCCGTCTATCTCATCCCAGACATGTTCTATAGGGGAGAGGGTCTGGAGAAACAGCCATCCATAGTAGTACAGCAACATCATGCTGTCTTAAAATGTCTGTTCCAATACTTGCAGCCCTTTGGTGGGCATTACCCTGCTGCATGTGACGTTACTTCCTTATTTTGCACAAAGAGTAGAACATGATATCTAACTATGTCGTCACAATGATGAGTTGGTTTTCTCCCATGAGTGAGTGAGGTTTTTTTTACTAGGCTAACCGACAGCCCCCCCCCCCCGACAACGCTGAGAAGCGCAAGCGTAGCTGAAACGTTCTCCTTGACGCCTAAAACCGTTTGCCCGACCACCAGGGCTATCCAGATGAAATATGGACTCATCTTCTGAACTAAGATGCATAATTGGGAAGCATAATTAGGCTTGTCGTTGTTGAAGGCCCTGCTCCCTCAACCTGTTGCATACGGCTTAGCAACAAACTGGTCCCAGGAATTGTCCGAGCTGTCAATGTGACAGTTACGTATCGATTCTGTAGATGCACCAACTAAATATGTCTTATTGACTTGACGTCACACATCCTTAAAGTCGAGAATATGTCTTCATGACAATGTGTTGAAAGTTGTATTATTTAATTTCAGTCACTTATATTGTGTCATTGTGTACCTACCGTGTCACACCCATGTGTAACCTACCCTGTCACACTCGTGTGTACCTACCCTTACACACTCATGTGTACCCACCCTGTCACACTCGTGTGTACCTACCGTGTCACACCCTTGTGTACCTACCCTGTCACAACCATGTGTACCTACCCTGTCACACTCATGTGTACCTACCCTGTCACACTCATTTGTATCAGGTGTTCTGGAAGTGTCCCACATCAGCACTACAGCTCCGCATGAAGTACATCTTCCCACGGAAGGTTTGTCGTTAGTTGGGAAACACGCGATGTCCACACCGAAGGCTAACGGATGTTGTATTCTGCTACGGCGATATCATAGGAAGTCTGTGGAATTAACAATGATATATTTACTAGCATCAAGATCGCACAGGATCCTTTCATGAAAAGTGGTATTTGTGATTCATTCACTATGTTATGTTGTTTTCAATTAAAATAGGTTTACTCTTTTGCTGATCAAGGTTATGTTTGCTTATGACAGGTCAATCAACATTGGCAAATAATATAATATTTAGGGGATTGTCAAATATGCTCAAACTGGTCCTATTTGAATTGGGAGGTTGACCAGGAGCATGCACTTTACCCAAGTCGCCAAAGCACAAAGTGCACGTTCGAAAGACGGGAAACACATTTCACGTTCGTCACGCGCATTGTTCTCACAGTTAGGGATTGTGCTTGTGTTGGCCGTAGCAGAGATGGCGATATACTGGTCCAAATAATCACAAACAGCTGTGGGGGGTGAGGCTGATGACGTTTATTTAAATATGGTAGGTACGCATGTACGTACGAACTTACTTCAGCCTGAAACAATGAAAATACAACATAAGCAAATATAACATAGCATCTAATAGATATATACAATCTGTTAAAGTTACTCTAAAATAGAGATATCACTTTCGTTAAAAAAATAGCACTTACTTTACATCATGTAGACCTGTACGTTTCTTTACAATACATCAATACACACTACATTTTGATGGGATAGCTTAGAAAGATCAACAGTTATATAACAGTTCGTATCTATATAAATATACACTTGCTGAACTAGGTACTAAGATAATACATGGTAACTGGTTCACGAAGGGCAGATGTATTATCAGGTGACGCTACCAGTGAGAAGGAACATAAGCGACCCACTGGCTGCTATATAAACACTCCCTAAGTCTTATCGTTTTTTGTTTTTGAAAATCCACCATGACTTCAACTGCGATTGTCGTCCTGCTTTGTGTGGCGACGACACTTGCCATCGCAAAAAATCCGGAAAGAGTTGGGTCTTTTCCCGTCAAACATGCTGCTTTTACAAGCATATATCGGACATTTGATAAACAGAGCAACAGGACGTCTTATGATTTGCTGATAACTGCTTTCAACGGTGTTCCCTTCAGCACGGACTATGCATATATAGTAAGAGATGTGGGACGCTACATGCACAGCGTAGAAAGTATCACTCCACAAAAACTCACGGACAAAGTCACCTGGCCTAATGAGATATCAGGCGTGCCACGTATGTCTATTTTCTATCTTGTTTTGAAAGTACAGTGATAAAGTGACACATTGCGATAGATAGTTGATGTATTGAAGGATTGACGTTTCACTTTGTCTGAGTATGAACCGTCGTAATCAAGATAAATATTTTACATACTAAACTTAGATACAGTCTTAGTTCCGTGTCAATTTAAATAATTATTCCAGTTGCAAATGTAGGAACCCTCGAGGGAATGCTTTTCATTTCTTCAGTCAGTGAACTTTATAGGATAAAGTAATAAATTTAGAAGTGGTTTATTTAATTACTTGTACCCTATAGGAAATACAAACAATATTAACCATGAAATAAACTATAAACTAGTCCAATGCAGATTTTGTTTTAGATGCAGTGATTGCATAATTAAAGCAGTGCAATCGTACATAACATCACTTTTCTCTATTTTTGCAACTCTTTCCTTTCCCTTTTACGTACTTATTTGTTGTAAATACTTTGGGAGATGGCCTAATATGTATTAAAGCTTGTGTATTTGTGTCTTTGAATAATATAATCATAGAGTGATGGTCGAACTTCATCTGTCATGTGGCATAGACTCAATTTAACCTTAACAAAGTGAAAGTCAATCTTATGACTTTTGGTTCATATGATTATCGGTTTGACTAGATTCTGACAAGCAGTATGTGTGAACACTGGAACATAACAACCCGCTGGATCGTGGTAAAACTTGCTTCCCCAGAACGATTGATACTATAAGGGAGAGTCTGTCATCCACAGACTGTGAAACCACTGTGTTCCTTCATCACCCGTAGGAATGCGACAGCTTGCCATTTAGTTGTGTGTTGAGTCAGCCGAGGAACTGCCGCTGTAACTCACGGAAGTCAGATGACCTGTTATCCTTGCTTGAGATGCTTTCTGTCAGCCCCCCAATTGGTTTTCTGGTTCTAGATCCGTACATATAGTCCAAATTTAAATCTATTTCTGTAGTCTGTTGCCTAACAAACGAATGGAGCAAACATTGTGTGGGTAGTAAGTACACTTGCAACATCACGGCAATGTTTTACTTGGTGCTAAGGAACTGTTTGCCACGGTGTCAGTGTTAAGCACTGTTGCGTTGTCACGTTTGGTTTCTTGTTGGAAGCAACTAGTTAGAGAGAGATAGTGCACAGCAATAGCATGTTGTGTTTATCAGTGGATGGTGGGGCCCCGAAACAAATTACTTCACCAAAGGGACAGCATTTACATTTACATTTTACAATGTGTCCATGTATATATACTACATATATTTTCGTCGTGTCACCATGCGCTTCTCAGTTATTTTCATTTACTTCATCAGCAATAACGTTTTCATCACACTTGCAGAAAAAACGTCCTATAATTACAGTAGAACACGGATATAACGAACACGGATAGAGCGAACAAACGGGTACAACGAACTGTTAAAAAATCCCCGATTTATCTCCTATATATTATCATATAAAATTTATGTACATAACGAACTCGCTACTGCGAACTAACGTATATAGAGAACTGATATATGATCCCGACAAGCCCAAATACCGCTAATTACTGACGTGAATAGCCAACTGAGATATCTCACTCGGTGTCAAGTGTCACTAACAATTGGCTGTACGCAATCAGCGGCGAATCAACACAATCACTGGTGATGATTCAACCGTGTGTGAAGTGATCGGGAGATCGCTCAGCTCACCGTTATTTACAGCAACCACGGTCAGTTTACCGCTATTGACGCCTTGAAGCGAACATTAGTTGCAAGAGAATGGATACATATACATTAAATGCCATTATTTGACTCCTTAAAAGTCACATTTGAGGCTGTTTGACTATTAAATGTCAACATAACGTTTTCGCAATCGAAATACATGTAGCGCGGGAAGTCCCTACGGTGACCTGGCAAATTGTTCCATACGAAAAAAATTCTGGCAAATATCATAGCAATCACCTGAATCAAAGTGCTACGCTTATGGTTCTTATGCATTGTAATATTAAATATATATAGTGAAAGCCGAAGGAAAACGTATATAACGAACAACGTATATATAACGAACTAATTTCTCCTGTCCCCTGTAGATCGTTATATCAACGTTTTGCTGTAAACACCTTTGCAAGCCATGTTAAAAAAATTGTTATTTTCCTCCATGTATCAGTAATAACATACTGGGGTGATTTAGCCATTAGTCCATATGCAATGACAATGGCAAAGGTGCAAACTATCAATCAGCGCTGAACAGTCACCACGTTTCAACGTCTCTGAGACCTTGATGCCGAGGAGTTGAGTGAACGACATATGAGTGTTTCTTAAGGGTGGCCACACAATTTAGATGTTATTTTAACCCCGGTATTGGAGGATTATGTGAACATCCTGTTCTGATTTATCATAATATACTCAGTTCAAAGTAACTATGTGTATGCGAATGTTTGCGAATTGTAAACATCCCTTAATATCCAGGATTATATTTGTGCCGAGAAAGAAATATTGAAAATAGAAGAGGAGATCGATTTTCACTCTGTCTGACACCAGAGAAACTAAAGAAGAATTAAGATACAATTTTCTTATATGTATAACACATGATTTAATATGATCATACATATAAGTAACTAAATTAAAGAATGTACTTTTAATACCATCCTTTAGTAATGTTTGCCAAACGCCTTCCCTCCAGGCATTATCAAAAGTTTTCTTAGAAATGAAATAAAGCTACAATAATGTTTACTATTAGAACATTTTAGTATTTGCAACGGCATATATAATTATACATAAATATTATCTATAGTTGAAAACCTTTCCCGAAAAACCATCTTGTGCTGATGTCAATATCGCATTAGTTTCAAGGAATAAATTAAATCTGGTGTTCGGGATGCTGGTGAATAATTTGCCATTAATATAGTAATTGACCTATATGAATTGGTAGTATCACCCTTTTCTTATAAACGGGTGTATCATTCCGGTGAACCATGATTCGGGGATTATTCCCGAGGACAAAAAAACAAGATTAAAATATGAAACGTAAAGCGGTGCGAAGATTTCAACGGAATCAATTTGATAATAATTTTCTATCAAATCAGTACCAGTTGATTTGTTACGTTTCTGTAAAGGATACCTTTACCCCAGCTGTTTTTGGAAGTGTTGAGAATGTTATTAAACATAAGTTTAAGTGGCTGGGTAGTTATATGCTGTGCAGTTTTGAATCATTGTGCAGCCACTCCATCAGGTCCTGGAGTTTGATTTATTGGTAAGTTTGGGATGCTTGATAACATTGCTTGTTCTGTAATTGGACAGGTAAGTATGCACGGACCATCAGCTTCAACAGCAATACAATGCACCTTCCAGTAGTCTGTAAGGGTATCTGTGCAGAGAAGATAGTGTCAGAAATACGCTGGGAAACTTTCCAGAACACCTTGGGATCATTTCTTACTTCTATTATTTTGTCTTTCTGTTTACTCAAATTTATCTGTTTCTTTTGAACGAAGGTTCTTCTGTTTATTTGTTTTTGTTTTACGCAACATTCAACAATATTCCAGCTATATGACGGCGGTCTGTAAATAATCGAGTCTGGACCAGACAATCCAGTGACTGATGTCATGAGCATCGATCCACGCATTTGGGATCGATGACATGCTTCAACCAAGTCAGCGAGCCTGACCACCCAATCCCGTTAGTCGCCTTTTACGACAAGCATAGTCGCCTTTTACGGCAAGCATGGGTTGCTGAAGATCTGTTCTACTCCGGATCTTCACGGGTCGAAGGTTCTTCTGAAAAGTGGTCCTCATTTCCTAAATAGTGAATTATCTGTTATTGTGTCTGTGTGAGCTTAGAACCCTGTATTTTTGTTGTGTTAGGTGATCTTGTTCATTATCCCACTAGCGTGGTTAAGTATTATTTCTCTGTTTTAAAACAGCACAGAATGCTATTTGTGTGTCCTGCAGGCTATAGCTTTATCTCTTGGTAGGGACCAAATATCGCAATGCAGACCTTCCAGCATGCATGTATTCGTAACTTACCGATTGTTTAAGTGTGTTTTCCGGTGTTTAAGGGCGACTGGTTTAATATTGGGTCTGCTCACTCTAAACATTCCTGAAATTTGAAAAGCTAGGGCGCCGCAATTGACTGTACTTACGGTACTTATTTGTATCATGATCAGTCTATTGAACTAGACACGGCACATAAACGTATGAGACCATTTGGTAATTGGAGCACAAGAAAACGATTGAAGTGGGCGTTATTTTCATTATGAGAATATCATTCTTAACAATTTGGGTCCATTAAACACGACAAAAAATGGAAAAAGTCAGGATATTTCACTCAAAGACATGCAAATATCTATCTACATACAAGGCGAATTCATATGATTTCCATGAAATCTGGAAGGGACAGTATTGAATTAACTTAATTTGATACCTATTTGCAAATATAACATACTATTAGTTTCATAAGGTCACAGTAACAAAGAAACGATTATACTGCATGTGTGAAAGGACGAGGTACACAAGCGGTTGGGTAGGGTTTGCTTGCATCACAACATCTAATCAGGGAACAAACACATATGAGTCTTATTTTTGTGTGTAATTTGAAATAGCAATTGTACATGTACTGTTAATAAATCTTTTCCCGATAGTCAAACACGGTCGTCACAAAAGTCGTCGTTGTAACAGTAAAAAACCTTATCTCTGGTATGTCATTTAGAGGATAATATTGTATATCAGTGAATAGACTTGGCACCTGTTAAGCGAAATATTGTCCCATGCTGTCCATTGGCGGCCATGTTGAGGTTTCCACCGAAAATGTATAATCCTGAACCATAAACATGGTACAATTCCTGGGTGTAATATGAGCTTAAAACGTGATTGAAAGGCATATTTTCATTAAAATGTCCAAAATAAAAGATGGGTTTAATAAAACACGAAAAACGTGAATAAGTCAGCATATACTTTATTCAAAGATTTGCAAATATATATCTACATACAAAGCAAATTCATATGATTGCCATGAAATCAAAGTTATTTACATTGATAGCTTCCACACAAAAAATATCATGGCTGGGATATTGCTACACGAGGTTGTCCTCGTATATGCCATACCAGTTCCTCGTCTGTTCACCGCTCCATGTGGTTGTCCTCGAAAATGACAAACCGGTACTTCATCATTCCCTGTTCCGAGATAATTCCCTGTTCGACGAGGTCGTCCTCGTATAAGACATACCGGTACCGAGATAATTCCCTGTTCCACGAGGTCGTCCTCGTATAGGTCAAACCGGTGCCGAGATTATTCCCTGTGCGACGAGGTCTTCCTCGTATAGGACATACCGGTACTTCATCATTCCCTGTTCCACGAGGTCGTCCTCGTATATGTCATACCGGTGCCGAGATTATTCCCTGTTCGACGAGGTCTTCCTCATATAGGACATACCGGTACTTCATCATTCCCTGTTCCACGAGGTCCTTCTTGTATAGGCCATACCGATGCCGCGATTATTCCCTGTTCCACAAGGTCGTTCTCGTATAGGACATACCGGTGCCGAGATAATTCCCTGTTCCACGAGGTCTTCCTCGTATAGGTCATACGGTGCCGAGATAATTCCCTGTTCCACGAGGACCGCCTCCGTTGTCTAGGGTCAAAGAGTCCACCCGATGAACGGAAGGTCCGGGGTTCAATTCTCGGCCGTGTCATACCCAAAAGACATTAAAAGATTGTACTTTTTACCCTGCTTGGCGCTCAAGGGACCAAAACAAGGACTGGTCGGATCATGTTAAACTGCGGCATGGTATCTCAGTGGGCTAGCTCTATAGTCCGGACTCGTAAAAGCAGCCGAACACACGTCCTCAAATATGCCATACTGGTACCTAGACATTTCACTGCTCAATTAGGTTGTCTTCGTATGTGACACATCAGTGTCTAGTCTATTCACTTCTACATCTACATAAGTTCATCCTCGTAAATGACACACCGAGGCCTAGTTTATTCACCGCTACACGAGATAGTCCATCTGACATGCATACAGACAGGCACACACACGCAGACACACACATACCCAGTATGTTTTATTTAATTCACACTTCGTATATGCAGATATAACAGCATAGTTCAGCGTTGAATAAACACAATTTAAAACGTCAACCGAATAATCGTTCTCGAGTGATGGTGAGAGTGGCGGGTGCTTCCGGTAGAGCAGATCAGACACGTGGTGTCATCACTGATTATCACTGATTATCACTGATCAATTCATATATTTTTCACCACTATTTTGCCTTTTCCGCCCAAAGCAATCTGTTACAGCAGATAACAAAGACTGATTATTCTCTGGCATCAAGGTTATATATTTCATCTTCGACACCGTCGTGACCACAGAAACATTGTCTGTTTTCCGTGGGAAGATTCCCATAGTCTTTTCAATGACTAACGATTCACATGCGTAGTAGGTTTTGAATGTTTGGTGTATGCATGATTTGTTTCTACCCTGTCCACCTTTTGCACTTTCCGTCTTCAACTTGGCCTTCCATTCCGATTTAAACTTTCTATTTCTTTGATTTCTATTTGGACGGAGATCTCCTTCTTGTTGTAATAGTGTTAGAAAAGTGGGTCAGTCCACGATCTTTTTGGTACCTTCCTATTCCGGCGTACTTATCGGCCTAGACTAAAACCCATTTGTTGATCGGTATTACCCGGAACATTAGAACTCTATCGACTTTTCAAGTTGTTCACGTTTTAATGTAATCTACAGCTGCATTTGGTGTGTACTTTCCGACACCCAGGAAGAAACGCATTGCTCTTGTGTACTGTATAGACAGATGATATGTCCCCTGTTCCCAAGATGGCTGCACTGTAATCCAATATAGGCCAGACGATACAAGCACCTGGTCTATTCACTGCCACATAAGATTATCCTCAAAATGACATGTGGGTGCTTTGTCTATTAACTGCTACATGCGATTATCCTCTAATTGACACGCCGGTGCCAATAGTCTATTCACTGCTTTGCAAAATGATCCTCTCTATGGCTTACAGGTGCCCAGTCTATTTATTGCTATTCAATACTATCCTCAAAATGACAAACCAGTGATAAGTTTATTAACAACTTTAGTGACAAACCGTGTTTGACTATCTGGAAAACATTCTTAACTGTACATGTATTCAATGACCATAAAGATGGATACACTGAAAATCATAACCAACGAATGGAGTTAGAAACATAAAATTATTAAAGCACAACTAATTAAACATGATCAGGCTGAGTAAAAACATTTTCTCTGTGTTTAAGGAGGATTTCATCTCATCAACTGTAATCCATCATCTGTGTCCTATACTCTGTTTTAATATGCAAATCACACATCCCAGGATATATTATATGTACACGGGATAACAGATTCTGAAATAATTTAAAATGATTTTTAAAAATCAGTTGAGGAAGGTGAGATATGACAGAGATATTAACCGGAACATAAGAACTCTATCGACGTTTCAAGTTGTTCATGTATTAATGTAACCAATTTCCTTTAATAATATTTTTTATCATGAAAATTACTATTTCAGTAGCTTTCTCATGCCTATATCAAACACACAAAATTATTAGTGTCATATGTGTATGTGCCATAATAACATGTAGTGACCTTTGTGTACCTCGGTCTTTCACACAAGCAATATGATCGTTTCTTTGTTACTGTGACTAAATGAAACTCATTTGTAGATTGATAGGAAAAGTCTGTAAGTCTTTGAGTAGAGCTTTTTTGTCGCGTTTCAATGTACCATAAATTAGTGCTGTCAACTTCTGACTTGACTCTAAAACCTGAAAACATGTCCATTCCTCTTTTGTACTGGATTCCAAAGCTCCTTAAAAATCTGTACAAAGAGGGATATATTGCTGGGTCCAGCAAATGTACCACCAAATCCCTGTCTCAAAGACTTACAATAATCCTTAATACAATCAAGGAAGGACTTTCTTTATATTACAGAAAGTATTTGAGACAAGTGGAATTAATACCATATAGATTCGCAAAACCTCAAAAGATTTGTTTGATTTTTGCAATCTCCGAATTCTGTCAAACCATTTGACTTTTCAACTTTGTACACCACTATCCCATATGACAAACTTAAGGGAAAACTTCATAACTTGATCCAGTGGACTTTTGTTACAAAACGTGGTGAAAGATACAGTTACGTATCCATATTCAGAGGTTTAGGACAATTTGTTAAATGTTTACTGAGAAAACAATATATGAAATGCTGGACTTCCTCGTTGATAACATCTACGTATGGTTTGGGGGTAAGACATTTAGACAAGAAGAAGACATCCCATTGCGCACCAACTGCGCTCCCCTTTGCGGATCTGTATTTTATGCATATGAAAGTCAAATCAAGGTAATTTGGAGAAGAAGTTTAACTTAACAGTTTAGCTTTACAGATCGATGATCTGATATCGTTCAATAACAATCAAATAGCCAATTCCTTTCCACTGATTTACCCACCTGGGCTAGAATGAAAGGAGACCGGTGAGACCGCCTCATCTGTTTCTTATTCAGATCCATGCATAAAGATTCAGCATGCTAAACACTCCCCACAAGACTGTATGACAAGAGGGATCACTTCAACTTTCCCTTCACGTCGAGCAATATACCAGCAGCTCCATCCTTTAGATACAATGGAGCATGCTCTTTCTACCAAGGTATCAAAGAGCGTCATACGACCCTTGATACGACGCATCAGTCACAAAAATGATGTCCGATGCAATTCCCTATTTTGACTTGTACCGTTTGTTCCCGTGTTTGTTTTTCAGGTGAACAATTGTTTCCTTAAACTGTCAATTCAGAATTATTTAGTTGGGTGTACCAGTCGATGTGGCTTCATTCCTAGTGAAACAAGCAGCGTATGCAACTGTCAGAAATCTGATACTGAGACCTATACCTTCACCGACCAGTCTGAGCATATCACGTGCGTCTGACACAATTCTCCATTTGTTTGGACGTTCCGTTATGCTTGAGCGAAGTAGGAGCATCAAATAAAGGTAATTTTATGCTCGAAATTACCGACGAATTTATTACGCTTTTTTAATGAATTGTCGCTCAATTTTCCATCCATTGACCATATTTGGAAAATACAGACGATTTCGTGGTTGCAGTATGCATGCCCTTTAATATTGCCAAGCACTATCCACACCCACCAGGAGCTAAAGTTATGATGTGAAACCTGTTGGGATACCTAAATAATAACGAGCACTCCTGTTTCATTTTACAGAGTACGTTTTCAACACGAGCATGGTTGCAATCCCAGACGGATTCCTTGTTCCATTCAAGACAAAAGGTGGAATAAAGCTAGTGAATATCACTGGAAGTGGGGCGAGTATCCCGGTGAGGATCACCGAGGAGTCGGGAGAGGACTGGTTCTATCACCGAGTACAGTGGGTGGACATGGATAATGATGGCGACTACGATGCTCTCACATGCCGAGCTAGGAAACCTTTGTTTGGTACATTGTTTTCATATGATGAAAAGAAATGTTCAAATATGTATGAATTGGTAATAAGATTTTAAGAAAAAATCGAGTAGTATATATCATACTTTGGGTAATGAAATGTCTCATTATAATTATTGTTTATGTGATGTCCATGTTTTTTTCTGTTTTTCTTAGGATCTGAGGAGGGGGAGCTTCTGTGGTACGAAAATCCATCCACCCCTTCTGTGCGCCCTGGATGGACACCCCATGTAATCGCCAAAGGTCCTGATGTGTACTTTCAACATTATAGGTACAATATATCTACATTGTATTGAATCCAAACAAACGTCCAGTATAGGATTATTTGTTCATTTATGTAAAGTCCTTTTGTGATTAATATTTGTGGTTCATGAGTACATGGAATCCATGTGTAACTGGTCATATGACTCAAACGTGGTCGTAAAAAAAAATACGAGCAAAATCCGTCTTGCGGACCAATTGATAATTTAGGGAGAATGACTTTAAAAGTGATGTGACGACAATTTAACAGTGTCCAGTTTAATCATTTAGACACACAATCCAAATTACACCAAACCTGTTAAAAACAAATATCAAGATGACTTTTCCGAAGCCGTATAATCGACACCTATTTAGTGAAAGAAAGTTCGGCTTCATACGCCCAAGGTAGACAATCATATTTTAACTGATTTGATGAATAATCATGGCAATATTACTGAGGAAGCCGACAAAGGTGGGGGCTACTGAACAACGCATTCTACAAGAACATGATGCTTGACATCTCAGAAAATAAAGAATCTTACGATACGTCAAGTGAATCTGAAGAAAACTATTACTGGACAAATATAGCAAAGAACTGTATGACAGTGAACGTGACATTGTGCAGTTTTAAGGCAAAAACTGCGTTCTTTCATGGACTTCCAAAAAAGCTCAAAAGTAAGACTATTCAAGACGAAATAAACACTGTAGTGTCGCTTCAGAATCCTTGAGAGGACAAACACGTCACATTGAAAGACTTAGGAACGATTTTTTGAAATATGTGTAAACTTCGGAAACAAATATTACCCAGCTTGTGAGTCTTTTTGTTAACTGTCGGCCAAAAGAAACTTTACCACCTTAGAATGAATTTGCAAAACAATAAAAACACATATTAAAACTAAACCATTCAAAACACATCGTCCAAACACAACAATGCTCCATGCAGGAAGTGATTCACGTCCACGCCACATTTTTTTTTCTTCTGAAAATACGAAAACAAATTATTAATGTACCGTTTGGATAGCCGAAATAAGGCGTGCAAAAAGGGTATAACATAATACGGACGGCATGTCAGACACTCACACTGATAACAAACCACCACAGAAATGCCACGACTGAAACCCGAACAATGCGTGCGGGCCCTGGCTATAATACAGATGAAAGCCGCCGATTCCCACTCTGCTAAAAAGTTTTGCCTGCTCCCTTGTTGCTGTTACTGACCTGATGCAACGTTACAGACAGACCGGCCAAACATCAGACAGGCCAAGAACAAGCAGACCCAGGGTAACTACGCCCAATGAATACCGGTACTTGTGTACCTTGCATCACCGGAATCGTTTACTAACAGTGACGTCATTAGTGACGAATGCCTTAGGGCATATGGTTAGTCAACAGAGTGTGGCCAGGTGACTCAGGGCTCAAGGAATTAGGCCTTGCAGACCTTAAAAAGGAGAGTTATTGACAGTGCAACATTGTCATCAGAGATCGAGATGGACACACGTCGTTAGCATCGTCGTGGGCGACGAGGGTGGTCCGCACTGATGAAAGACGGTTCTGTCTGTTCAGAGTTGATTGAAGAAAGTGCGTTTACCGCCATGGTTAGAACGAACGGTGGCACGTTGCGTTCAGGGGGTCGTTCTGCATGGTGGAGAGGATGTTATCGGGTGTGAATTTGTGGGCAGGTGAGAACACCACTAGCGGAAACGGTAGCGTTATACTTGTCAACCATACCCTGTACATCACTTGCTTGATAACGGTGTTAGAACCAACACCGAAACAACGTCGCTCCTAATAGTAATAAAGAAGTTGTTCATCCATAAATCTTATCTTTACTTTGTACTCCAACTACTGAATGCCTCTCAAAGAAACTGGTATCTTGTTGATAGCCTCACATAGAATTAATAGCATAATAGTGAAATATTTTTCTATGGACATTATATAATGTGATAAAGCCACTTAGTCAGAGTTGCACTTTGTTTGGCCGTCACAAGTCAGTAAATAAGCAGGTGTCTGTGGTCTTGGAAAATTGACAAACTTTAGGAATGTGCTCTGATCAGGTTCTTGCAGAAAAAGGGATCAAAGACCAAAAACCTTCCATGAAGATATAAGTACATCACTGGAGAACGATGCCGCTTCCTATGCCGTGCACAAGCTCTGCTAAAAGCTGTCCCAAAGAGGTTCTTGCAAAGATTTTTGACTACGATGAAACCTCGGTTCACCACGTCCAAACTACAATCAAAACAGTGAAAGCATTTGTCATCACACCACGACCAAAGAAGGCAAAGGCTGTTCCATCAGTTGTAAAGGTTATGGTTTCCGGGTTCTGGGGTGCTGAGAGTGTCATCAAGGTGGACCTAGAGTCCAAAAGGCCAGACAATACCGAAACAAACAATGCTGCACGTTTGAGGACAATTACAAAATGACATTAAGACTAAGAGACGTGTGAAGCCGAGGAAGGGCGTGTTCTTCTATCAGGACAATTCGCCAATGCACATATCAATCTTTGCCATGGCTACAATCGACTGGAGTGACTTGAAGTACTACAGCACCTACCAGATTTTCCTGATCTGGTTCCGTCAGACTTCCATCTGTTCACGACATGAAGAAATCTCTTACCAGACCCATTTTGACTCGAACGATGACGTCAGGGTAGCTGTGGAGAACATTTCGACTGGCAAGATAAAGTTTTTAAAGTCTTTAGGTCAAGGCTTTCTATGTGAGGCTTGGAACATATAACAAGAGACTCTGCCCCTGCACACAATCCGCGAAATGGACAAAAAAAACAAAGAACCTGTACCTGTAGAAAGTATACTATTGCAAGATGCTCTTAAAAATATTAAAATCCAGCCACCTTACCACCACCACCAACCCAAATGTATATATATATTTCATCTCGTCAGGCTCAACACTCCCAATGGCCCCAAGAGCTGCATCTTAACTGCTCAGTTTTTCACAAAGAGTTTATCAGTGTATTGGACCGAAGGCAGTGACTGGTTGCATCTTGGAAATGTAAGTATTATATTATATCAATTTTTATATTATCCACACAAATGATCAGCAGTCCTTTCTTATGGATTCACGTTTGGTAAAACTGTAAGGTAACTCTTCATGGCGTCAGTGCACTTATTCAGTGCACGAGTTCACAAGACAGATATATTCCGTTTAAAATCAGATATTTTACTCTGATATTATGTCTCTTCATAAAGATCTGAAAACGACTAAACATGCAATGTTTATGAAACATGCCAATTTTTTATGTTTTCTATTTTTCAACTCCTGAACACCCGATCTTTTACAATAGTTAATTAATTGCAATATGGTCACCAAACCACGTGCAGTTTGACATGCGAGTGACATGCACTAACAAGGTTGATGAACCATGCACACATTCAAAGTTTTCTGGTCAGAAAATTTTTCGTTACGAATTTTAATGGAAATTGTATGAGATTAAATAGACCAGAAGCAGAATACGAAATAGTTGCCTTCAGAGGAAACGATTTTTCAAGACATGTAGCCTAAATGATGTAAAACGCACACTAAAAATCTTGAAACTCAAAGTTGCAAGCAAAGGCAAAACAAGGAAGGAAACATATTGAACAATCGTTGCTGATCAATGGAACAAACCATGGTTTTCATAATGAACACATCTGTAATCATATGTCCATAGTCATTTGGTTTATGAGAGTTAACTTATAAACAGTCTAGATACTACTAATGTTAGGCCCATTCCGATCACGGGTTGTTTCTGATAAAAAAAATTCTCTTCAACAGTCGGATACTCTGATATACTCTCACTTGGCATTCTGTGTGTACAACTGGTCCGCAGTATCCTATCTTGTCGCATATATTGTTCATATGTGTAACGTGATTGGTTGGATCATTGCCCCTGCTGTCAGAGACTAGCTTGCCATGTCCAGCTTAGATACATGCCGCCATGATAGAGAGGGAGTACTGCTGACTGCTGCATAAAACAACATTCACATATTCACTGAAACATATTACGACCATCTCCCTAAAACCATGTATCATCATTGGCGAACCATCTGTTGGGAGGCGTGTGGGTTAAGTGCGTTAAGAGACCCTTCGTTATACTATTTTGTTTTATCTTTGCTCATGATCTTTGACTGATAGATACAGGTTGCTCCTAATACAGGATATTTACCATCCCCAAACACACAAGCGTCTTTATCATATAATGTCATTCTTTAATTCTGTGCTTGAAAATCGCTTCCTCTTTCTCACAAACATTACCGAAACATTGCGAGTTTTCCTGGAATGCGCGCATTAATATTTATTACGTCACAGGGTAAGTGATGTGTCAGGCTGACAGTGACAGTAACCAATATAGTTCCAACTGAAATCTGTTTCTTATACAGTGGCGAGGGAACATATACGCAAAACAACTATTGTTTTTACTTGCCTTTCGCAGAAATCCATCAGTCCACTGAGTAACTGCCCTTTGTCAAAGGGAAGCTACTCTAGCCCTAGTCTATGAGACGTCACAGCCACGTTCAGTCGTTGTTGACAATTGGCCTGTCCTGTCATAACGTTAAAAAGTGCAGTCAGATGTACACACAGCGCCAAAACGAAACAAGGTAACAATTCAAACATATTTCGGCCAAATCAAACTATTTTAATTTGTGGAAAAGGTTTCAAGCCGCAGAGGTCTACAAGCACAGATATGGCTACTGATCCCGCTTAGATAGGCCTAGTGCCCTCGCAAAATTGTTTCGAAATGTATGTCTCCAAAGTTGCCAAAACTTATAAAATGCCTTAGCTAGGTCACAGTTAGTCACTGATTTTCAGTATGTTCTTTTGATAATGGTAGCAATTATTCCTGTAGTTTATCCGGATTCCCGATGGTTAATTCTAACTCGATTGCCGACGCCACGTTTGTTTCTAAACACTGAAAGTAGTCCGTACTTGACCTTTGACATTTGCATCTCTATCCGCATATGACCCCCACGGATATTGTTTTTATCCGTTGGCTTTATCAATGTCGATACCAGGTGTTCGCAAAAAGGTGAATATATTCTGCCCCGGCGGTGGCACCTATCACAAACACATGCACAGGTAAGTCAGATGTTCACCGAAAAACAGACATCAAAACATAAGTCTAAATAGGGAATTGCATCTGATATAATTTTTGTCACTGATGTGTCAAATTTGGAAATATCATCCACATGTCTACCATAAAACTTTTGAGTCTTTGAAGGTCGTAACCTTGATCGAACAGCTTATGAGAAAGAGTTGTATGACGCTCTAAAGTTGGAGTCTCGGTAGAAAGAGCATGTTCGGTTGTTCCTAAAAAGTTGTGAAATGCAGACAGGGCTGGAGCTGCAGGAATATTGTTCGACATAAAGGTAAATCCTAATTAGATACTTCCTCTCGTCATCCAGTATTTTGGAGAGTGTTTTGTCACTCTTTATTCATAGATCTAAATATGAAACAGATGAGGCGGTCTCACTGGTCTCCTTTCTTTCTGGCTCAGGTGGGTAAATCAGTGGAAGGGAATTGGCTAATTGATTGTTAATGAACATATCCAAATTACCTTGTTTTGACTTTACCAATCCGGGGAGAAATTCGGATTCATTTGCTTAAAGACACAGATCCGCAACGGGGATCACAATTGGTGCCCATGGGAAGTCCAACATTTTGCATATCATTTTCTCAGTAGATTTCAGATGGCTTTTGCTTTCAAATTTGACAAATTGACCTGAACCATATGTAACTATATGTTATATGTAACTATATCTATGGTCACAACGTTTTGTCACGAAACACGCCTCATATGTGATGAAATTTCGCATTTATTCAGGAAACTCAAAACATTTTTCCGCCAGTTATGACATTTGGTATGAAAATAAACATATTATTCTTATAAGGCAGCACTTACGACATGCATAACCCCAACAAAACAACAAAAACGTAACACCACAAGAGTATCGCAGCTAGGATGATTGCATCAAGCTTCGCCTACTGACCGACCAAGGTCTGGCTAACCCCATGGGAAAGTGGCTGCTTAGGTCAGATTCATACTGCTACGCCATTTGCGGCAAAGGGGAACAACACCAACATCTAGAATGGCTTCAGTTCGCATTTTCAATCTGACAAGGCAATGCTGCCTTAAACGTAAAAACGCCGCCATGAAGGCTTTGCCGCTAAATGCACATGGGAGGTCGACAGATGTTGTGGTGGGAGAGTATGGGTGGAACTCTCACACCACAGAACAAACCCGACACATGTTCAAGACTCAAAGGCTTAACGGTATTGTAATACAGCCTATCGTCGCACGTTGTTCCAATTATTACCAATGATAACATCGTCTTCCAAGACGAAAATGATAGGCTGTTCATAGCACTGGTAAATATTCGACCATGGCCTTTATGTAAATTGCCAGATTTAAACCCGATTGAACACCTATTTGAATTGGATCGTACGATTGTGTCATCCTGAACTTCATACACAACCGTTTTCCCATGGACTACCGTGTTCCCTTTTCGTTCATGGACGGGGTGCCAGACAATGACAGGCACAGGGGCTATTGAATTATCATGCCCTTGACCTTCGCACTTTCACTTATTCACTTGACCACTCTTGTTGTGTTTGCAATATGACATTGCTCACCAAATGTTTCGATGTTCACCAAACGTATATATTTAAAACGGTTTAGTTTGTAACTCACTAATTGGATGACGTCCCGACAAGCTTGTGCTTACAATATCCTGAAAAACACTCAGCAATTTGACAACACTTTATGAACATTGTTTTCAAAATTTGAACACATTTTTAAGAACCTCAGTGATATCCGAAGGTCAAGGTGACCAGACGCTAACGTAATTAGACCTGAAGTACTTATACATGTCTCATTAAGGCAAATGGATATCTGTTTTAGAGGTGTACTGCATTATGTGTGTGTGCGTTTTCCAAACCGGAGAAGATGTAACTTAACTTACTATTAGAGTAACCAGAGGTATTAGACGTGTCCAATGTGTACTGAATTGGACATGTGTTTTGCTAAATGCGAAACTAATGTCATTAAACCAGGAAATTATTCTCACTTGTACAGTGAAGGAGCCTGAATGCTATTATCAGAAGTCATACAGCTGGAACTCGGCGAGAGGTAGCCAATATGTTCAACATGTCTCAATCTGTGATTTGCAGACTTTAGAAAAAGGTTTCTGTAGACACCAAATGTCCAAAACGGCGACCTAGGTCAAGAACAGGATCGATTAATCAGAAGCCAGGCAGTAAGAAATCGAGCCCAACCAACAAATCAAATCGCTGTTCACTGGTCGCCAGAGTTCAAAATACTGACAAGACGGTTGGAAATCGTCTGTATGCAGCTAATCTGCATGCTCGGCGACAATCTATTGTACCATTAGACACATTCTACCCAGACGCTAATGGTTGTATTTTAAAGCGTAGAAACTGGGGAATCGCCAATGGTCTCTTGTGATGTTTTACGCTGGACTGTCTAGGCGTGTCTAGACGAACGTCATGCGAACGTCAACATAAGGCGACATGGCAGATTTAGGGGTGGGTCTGTAATAAGATGGGGCGAAATCAATATGATTGCCAGAAAGCCAGTGCATATTGTTAATGGAAGGGTAGTACTAGCTAGCCAAAATAATTGCGCCAATAGTGGTGACGTTTGCGCGCATGTTTTGTATTATAAGACGATAACGCTCATGCCCACTGTAACTGACTCCCTCCAGCAGTAACACATCACCAGAATGTAAATGCCAGGCAACATAAGAATAACTGGGCCAGGGCACAATGCTTGAGATCTTGAGGACACGCCCACCGCTAATGACGGGTATATTGAAGTATCGGTGAAGTAATACAAATCTCAAAGCACTGCAAGGAATAGATAACACAATCTTTGAAATTGAGAGTGTTAGATTTATGAGCGTCGTAGATCGAACAACCTAAACTTAGAATGCCTCAGTTTTATAAAGTCCATTTATGGCGTACAACACTACTCACTAATCTTCACGTCTTTAATGGCAGGCTCTTTAATGATCAGAGAGGAGAGTTCACGTGTGTAACACACAATGGAGCAAGTGTTGTTGATTATATGTTAGCTTCATCATCCCTGTTTGCCCATGTAACCGACTTTGGTATTGGTACAAGAGATAATTCATGCCACTTTCCATTATACTGCAGTCTTAATCTAGATTTTAACTGTTTATATGAACCTGATTGTAAATTGCCACAAAATGATCTTCCGCAAGATGTCAGTACTGAGCCATGTAAATGGAATAAGTATGTCTGGAGTAGAGACTCTGGTAACACTTTCTTTGATAATTTTAAAGCTGGCTTTTATGATATTAAATCTGCACTATGTGATATGATTGATACAAATGTAGAGAGTGCCCTAGTTCATATAGTTAATATTATTCAATGTGCTGCTGACCATACCAAAAAGCTTTATACACAATTCCGCAAACCATTAAAATTATGTCAGCCACCATGGTGGGACCAAGATCTTGAAAACTTGAAACATGATAAGTATGCTGCTCTCAGAGCCCATAGAGACCACAATGCTGATCTAGACCGCTTTAGATATTTTAGACGCTTGTTTAAGAAAAGTTTCAATTCCAAACAATATCCACTGACAATAGCACCCAGTATCCACTCTGTGATGATTCTGCCCCTCTGCCTCCGATAGTTTAAACCAGCCCATCTCTGAACAAGAAGTATTATCCCACATCAAAAATCTACCTAACAACAAATCTCCAGGTCCAGATGGCATACCAAATGAATTTATTAAATCCTGCAGTAACCTTCATGCACCTATTCTCACCAAGATTTTTAATCAAATATTCTCTACTGGTTCCTTCCCATCTTCATGGGGTAAGAGTATAATCTGTCCATTACATAAGTCTGGTGATAAATAAAATACAGACAACTACAGAGGAATATCCCTTATAGATACTTTATGCAAGGTTTTTACATCTATCCTAAACAGCAGATTACAGCTATGGTGTGACACCAATAACATCCTCAGTGAAGCTCAGGCTGGTTTTAGAACTGACTATTCTACTATTGACCATATGTTTACATTACAAACTATTACAACAAAATAGTCTGGCAAAGAGAAGGGAAGATTTTACTGCCTCTTTATTGATTTTTCGAAAGCTTTCGACACTGTAAAACATGATGATCTGTTAGATTCAATAAAGAAAGTAGGTATATCGGGTCCCATTTATAATATCCTAGTTTCCATGTACAGTGGTTTATCAGCCTGTGTAAGATCAGCCAAAGGTTTATCTCAAGTGTTTCCATGTAATGTAGGTACTCGCCAAGGTTGTGTCTTAAGCCCATAAATGTTCCTAATTTTTATTAATAATTTGTCCACAGTATTTGAGGAATTAGGTGATAAAGGTATTCATTTTCTCCTGATATAGATAAAATAAATGTGCTCTTCTTTTTGCTGATGATGTTTCTGCTCTCTCAGATAGTTGTGCCCAGCTTCAAAAGAAAATTAATACTTTGGAAATATTTTGTAATAAAACAGGCATGCAAATTAACTTAAAAAAAACAAAAGTAATTGTATTTAGGCAAGGTGGACATCTTCGCAGTTATGAAAAGTGGTTTTATCATGGTGAACCTATTGAAACTGTTTCAAGCTATAGATATCTTGGCTTAATGTTTACACCTAAGCTTGTATGGAGTAAGGCACAAACTACTCTAGCATCCCAAGCCACCAAAGCAATTTTAGCAATTAACTCTTTTCAAAAGAAAATTGGTACAGATCTGTTTAAGGTTTTTGACTCTATGGTCACCCCAATCTTAACCTATGGCTCTGAAATTTGGGGTACTTGCTATTGTAAAAAAATCGAATCTGTCCAAATCGCCTCTTGTAAGCATTATTTAAAAGTAAACAAATCAACCTGCTCAAATATGGTTTTAGGGGAATGTGGGAGGTTTCCTTTACAACTCACTTACATGACTAAAGTAATTAAATATTGGTGCAGGCTCTTACATCTTCAACCCCAGAGATTACCTTCTCAATGCTATTTAATGCTTAAATCTTTAGATGATGTTGGGCGGGTAACTTGGGCGACTAAAGTTAGAAATATTTTATTCCAATTTGGGTTTGCTTCTGTTAACTCTTCTCCAAAATGTGATCTTTATAAGCATTTTAAATCCATGTTAAATGTTGAAAGGTACTTGTCATGTCCACTCCCTACCAATTTAAGAATTGTTTTTACTAAATGCAGATGTTCAAATTTTAAAATAGCTTTAGAAACTGGCAGAAATAGTAAAACAGACCGTTCACTCAGATTGTGTAACTATTGTAGTAGTAAGGGAGTTAATGTCATTGAGGATGAATTCCATGTACTCTTTAATTGTAATTTATATTCTGCCCTAAGACAAAAATACCTTGTTAATCTTCCTATGCCTACTCATTACAGTAATTCTCATGTAATAAATATTCTTAGTAATTATAATGAGCAAACATTATTTCTAGTTTGTAAATTGTGATATTATGCTCACAAAATAATTAATGATAAATTCTGTGCCCTGTAAATGTCATGCTCACATGTCTGTATTTTGGGCCATTGGCCTTTTACTGAATAAACATGTCTGTCTGTCTGTCCGTCTGTCTGTCTGTCATACAAAGTCATATTTCGTTAAAAATGGAAGACTGTACGTATTATGTGAACACCAAAACGCGTTTATTCTGTGCTTAGACAAAATCCAATTACAGCACAAATAGAGCAAACTGCTATGTGATATTCTTTAGAATTGTCAATGATGAACATTGTGAACGCCAATGCATATGCACATTTGAGAGTAAAAAAATACTCGACATGTTGGCATGTACAGCCCAATATATAGTTTCATTCTTAATTCGCACTTCTGTTACAAGGACAAAAGATTGTATTTTTCAGATGTAGTTTCAAACCTGTCTCATTAGACAATATGTCAAGTGTATTTATCTTTTTGAACAGTTAAATACAACTGTCTAAGAGAGCATAATCAGCAGCAGCAAAAATATTTTTAAACAGTTTATTAAAGGCAGGCGAGATACCAGTAAGTATTAACTAACCACCCTCACCCTCAAATCAGTGATTGATAAAAGTGACAAACATTTGGGTACTTCAAACAATGCCTATCAGATACAATGGGACTTAAAATGCAACCGTGGTGGATACCAACATTACATGAACATTCTTTGGACAAAGGAATTTTACAAAGATTCCAGCTTTTTGCAAAGACTTTATGAGGAAAGCATGTCTTAGAGTGTCCAAAGCTGTAGAAAAACAATCAAGAGGCAATATAATCTCTCTCTTTTTCGCAAAAACAACTTTTAACAATGACGTGCAATATAAATATATGATCTACCGTACAGTTGTTTGCCCTAAAACCTGCCTGAGACTCACTAATGATATTTTTATCTTCACACCAGGTTTGCAATCCCTCATTCCAAATGCAGAGTGATTATATGTTTTGCATCCTTTTTGGCAGACATAAATATTGGATAAATAGTATTTTACCCCAGATAGCGGGTACATGGCCAGTTTCATAATGTTCTTGTAGAATACAGTGCGAATGGGCACAACGAAGTGGTTTTGAAGAAGGAATTCCAACTGACCCAGGAGCTGTGTTATTGAATAACTATAAAATATGATAAAGTATCTCTTTAAAGAGAAAGCTCATCTTTCCACACAGCTGAATACACAAATGTTCTTGGTCCATACCTTTACTGTCAATACACAATAATGTTTAGAGTGGTAATGTTTATTTTCTGGAAGTATGTTTGAGAGTGAATTGTGTTGTCTTTTGGAGACAGTATTTGTATTGTCTCAGTGGGAATGCTTAATGTGCAGAACACGTGACATGAGTTTCTCGTGTACCAACTTCTACATTTGTAATGTATGGAGATGAGGAACACTGTAGCTATTGTGAATATTAATGTGAAATGAACCAATTTATCTTCGCCTATTCTGCCTTCTAATGTTTGGGTACGAGATGAACATTCTGAATTCTGTCAGTTTGTGCAATACTCCTCGCGGAATTGCGAGCAAGACTTTGAATGTGACTACCACTCAATGTTATTAATTTGTGGCCAAAATCCCTACACGATTTAGCTACTTTAAACTCTCTATTTACACTTATGTTTACACAGTCTCATCATAGTCAGTGAATTAGCAGTTATATCGATGCAACCTTTTTTTAAGTGAAACGGGAATCACTGAAAGTATGAACTATGATCCCTGCATTCGGCGCAATCATCCAGGTCACAGGTCATGGCATATTTCGTCATTGGTTAAGTTCCTTGTAGCAAATCCATGGATGTTTGATTGATTAAGTAAGCGACTTCCGGTTTCGACACCTGCAATGTTGGAGGTGAGTTGAAGTGAAATTAAATGGTGTTTAACGTAGCTTTCAAGATTGTTTCACTTATAAAGCGACGAGCATGCACGCGTACAAATGCCGGATACATAGTGCTAGCCCACCTCGAAACCATGCCGCAGTAATATAGATACCATTAACAGGGACATTATACTGAATCGTGTGACCCGGCTAGGCCTTGTTTTATAACCTTAATGCCGATCGCGAGAGCGGGTAACAACAACTGGCATGCGATCAATGGTCGGAAAATGATAACTTGAATGTAGAAGTGTAATGAAGAAGGTTTGTTTGATCCAACCCTGCCGATAAAACTAAGAACACAACAACGAAAATATGTGTTTTTTATCTCCACTTCAGGTGAAATCCAGGATAATCGACAATACTATAGGAGCAGTGTTTGATGTTATAGTAAATGACATTGGCAATGATGGCAACTTGGACCTTTTGGTTACCACTAACGACGTGACGAATGGCACAGTGTGGGCGTATGAAATACCCCCGGATTTCAGGTAACATATCAGCTCAAGTTGATGTTCAGGATCGGCTTTCTTTCTCCCTTTGCTTTACACAAGACATATATCCAATTGTGAAAATGAAATATTATTTGTCAAAATTCTTTCTGTTGCCTGTATGCGTCCTGTGAAGATCCAGGGTAGAATTGGTTTTCAAAAACCCATGCTTGTCATAAGAGGCGACCAACGGGACCCGATTTCATGAACGGCGACTTTCTTGATACATGTTATCGAATCCCAATTGAGTAGATCGGTGTAAATAACAGGATTGTCCCGAGACTCGATTATTTACAGACCACCGTTATATTTGCTGAAGCGGCGAGAAAAAACAGACAAAAAACAAACAAACATCATATTTGCATGCTTTTATGTTCAGGACAGGTAAATTTGCTCGACATATGTTGGCGTCAGGCTTTAAACCGAGAAATCAGGGAGTGGGAAAAGGAGCACCTGGATCGGCGTTTCCTATCAAATACATTGTTCCGTAAGTAAATTAGTGTATATAGTTACATTTATGTTCCTTTTTTAGTACATTAGATTGAACAAAGTTGGATTATCGCTCAGTAAGTGCCTGAACATATCTGACTTTCAAAGAAAGGCGCATTAATTCCTGCAAAACTGTTACAAAATAACTTTGATCCAGATCCAACTTGGATCAACACAGCGCGAAGACATACCTACCAATTGATACAAGTAGGTATACAATCATATGTAACCTAGAAAGTAAACCAAATTGTAATCAGGAATTGTTACATTTGTTATTGTTTTCAATAAATCAATTAAGCAGTATTATGTCGACACAATCATAGTGGTATACATGGTAAATTTTAACTGAATGGAATGGCATAAAAACTCTTTTGTCGGTACATCATATTTTAATAAAAAAACGTTCCACTCTTGGGATATCCGACCAGCGTCCGGTGTCAATAACTGTCCTCTGTAAGGTCTGTAAGCCCTAGTTCATTGAGTCCTGAGTCGCCTTGCAATTGTCTGTCGACTATGCATGGGTCGCTGATGACGTCACTGTCAAGAATCGATTCCGGAGGTGCAAAGTACGCAAGTACCGGTCTTCATTTGGCGTAGCTTCTCTGCCTGTTCTTGACCTGTCTGTTGTCTGTCCGATCTGTCCGTAACGTACCAATAGTTTAGTTATAGCAACACGGTAGCAACCAAAAGTTCTAACAATGTGGACATGGGTGGCACATCTGCATCATACCCAGGGCCCGCTCACGGTGTTCGGGTGTCAGTCGTGGCATTTCTCTGATATTATTTTTATCCCCCCGACATATAATGACGGGGGGATATAGCCATCAGTATGTCCGTCTGTCCGTCCGTCTGTCTGTCTGTCCGTCCGTCTGTTATCATTGTTTGTCCGGACCATATGTCCTAAACCGTACAACCTAGCTTCACCTAACTTGGTACACTTACCAATCAGGCTCAGTTGTAGTGCCTTTTGCTATTTAGAGATTTGTAGATGTTTAGATTTTCGACGTTTCCATGGAAATATGATGAACTTAGGAAATTTGAGGGTACTGCTCTTGTCCAGAGCATATTTTCTAAACCGTACAACCTAGCTTCGCAAAATTTGGTACACTTAACAATCAGGCTCAGTAGAAGTGCCTTTTGCTATTTAGAGATTTTTAGAATTTTATATTTTTGTCGTTTCCATGGAAATATGATGAACTTAGGAAATTTGAGGGTAGTGCTCTTGTCCGGACCATATCTCCCGAACCATACAACTTAGATTCTCAAAAGTTTTTACACCTATCAAACAGGTTATGTAGTGGTGCCTTTGCTGTTAACAGATTTTTTCTTTTTATCTAATTTCAATTTAAATAAAAAATTGATGAACTTAGGGTAATGTCCTCGTCTGGAGCATATCTTCTAAACCATGCGACAGAGATTCACCAAACTTTATGCAAATATCAATCATGTTCACCAGTAGTGCAGTTTGTTATTTATATATTTTAATCTTTTTTTAATTTGTAGCCCCTGACATATAATAAAACAAGATGTTTAGGTTTGTTTTTTTGTCAATCCCTAGTACATTCTCTTTATGCCTTTGTGTCATGAGGCTACTACAGAGCTATTCATATGCGAATCTGCGTTATTGTTATTACAATTTCATGAGATCAACAGACAGTGAGCAACATGAACCAATATTTCATAATCTTCATTATAGTTTTGGTTTTGGCATCAAGGAAAATGATTTCCTTTCCAATCTAAATACATTTGAAGGTACACACAGTTTACCGACATGCCACGTCGGGGGGAAATGTCATCTTTGGATGACTCTTGTTTTTATCAGTGTGAGAGTCTGACATGCCGTCGGTATCATGTATATACCCTCATTGAACTTGTAGTTTCGGCTGCCCAAGCGGCACGTGTTGTTCTCTTTCTCCCATGTTCTACAAAAATGTATCACATTCTGCATAGAGCGTAGGACGATGCGTTTTTTGTTGATTTAGTTTGAACTTGTGTTTTTAAAGTTTTAATTATTAAAGTAATAACAGTTGTTACGAGGTGATTTCCAAATTGAAACGTAACCCAGAAATCGTTCCTACAGAACTAAATTGTGAAATCAATAAATGACCAGATAAGATTAATTAGTAATTAATAAATTATATTGATACACACATTTTGGGGTTTACAATCACAAAAGGTAAATTGACACATAAGTAACTAGTCCGCAACAGGCCCTACAAGATGTACATGTGTCAGTGCAACCACATTGTCACTGTGGAAAGTCTTGAAACAGGCCTGTCTCTGTTCTTGAATCAGGAATAGTGCTAGAAGCTGGGAGGAATTCGGTGTTTTCAGATAGGTTTCCAATCCACACTTAGGTCAGCAAGTAGATAATACACAGTTCAGGACATGCTTTTTGGTATAGACTTTTGTTTATACTTATTTTTGCTTTGAGAAATGATCACAGTTATAAATATTCGTTCGGCGCTGAAGTATATAATGTATTTGTTGCCACTGTATCCCCTTGATTTAAAAAAAACAAACAACACAAACACAAATTGGATCTCTCAAACATTTAAATGGACTCGCACGCTTAAAAATAATAGCTTGGATCGTGTCATGTTACGCATATCTTCGAGGATCGAGTCAAATGAAATAGAAATCAGGTAAAAAATAAAGCAAAATTCCTATTCTGATATTGCACTTAAATTGTTATTATTCATCATTGGAATGTAGCGTTTTTTGTGAGAGAGAGGGGTATTTCAGTAAGCATGAATCCTGTTTTGTTTTTGTTCGCTAAAAAATAGTTTTCTTCTTAGCCTATTTTACACGCCATAACAACTACGTTTTCCTGTGTCTACTTAGCCCTTACAAGCGACCATTCATAGTGTCTGGCGATGACGACGGGCGTGCCTATGTCCTCTTGTGTACCTCATATGACTGGAGTTATAATCTGACTCCTTTTCTCGATGTGGGTCAAGGGACAGTGGGACAAATAGCAGTTGAAGATGTAAATGAAGATTACAAGTTGGATGTATTCGTTCCTGCATACAACGAGGGTCTCGTACACGTGTACCAGTATAATCCATGAAGAAATATTGCAGATGTAAAATGTTTGATATTATGCGCCGCATTTGTATGAAAAGAAATAAAACTATTCTTGAATACCAGACTGAAGTATAAAGATGTGTTTGGTAGATGGTAAACGTATATTCATTGGTGAATCGGGATGTCAAATTAATTGTTTGCGCTGTGTTTGTGACTAGTGGTGTATTTATCGTGGCAATGGACAACCTTTTGCCCGAGCATTGTGCCCCAGTATCGGTTGAAGAGGGCATGATAGCCGGGAACTGTTCACTACTTAAAGCCTTAGTGTTTGTAAAAGTGAACAGGGAAGGGGAACATTATATAACCTTTATCGTGATTATGGAACTACACAGACAAGTTCAGGCATCCATGAGGTATTCGTGTACAAACAAGATAAAGAGGCTACGAATAGATCAATCTTTGATATATAATGAAGACAAATTAAAAATGAATTTATATGAATGATATAAACGCCAGATGTTTCAGATATGTTTCAAAACCATTTTCCCTCACGCCTGTTTCCCAGGAAAGAATATTATCCGAAACAGCAAAGATAAATTCTGGATCTAACATTTAAATAAAAAAAAGTGTGGACGAGATACAAACAGGTCAATACCAAATAGACTTGGTGAAACCTAGACTAAGACAACCTCCCTAATTCTGCCGTGTTCCTTATTAATACAATATGTACCATAAACAGCAGAAAAAGAAAACTTTGATTATGTTTCAGATACTTCAATATGGTCCATTCGTAGATCCATTGAGCATGATCACGTTGCTGCTATTGGGATTGATTCCATGTATTGCTTTCTTTGGGAAGATTTATTAAATTCTTGTTTGGAAAACCTATTATTACAGTTGATAAAAGTTGAACCTGGAACATGTCCTTCTTTGTGGCATAATGAGGTTGTTTTCCCTTTATCTTAACCTGGACCGGATCACGCTCATACTCCAAATTGTCAGTTTGTTTCATTGACAAGCTGAGGTTGCAAAACCATCGTGCGTTTCTCCATTTGGATAAATTATTTGATAAAAATGAAATCAAAATGATTGCATTACCCATCTTTTGCGAAAAAAAACAGGAAACTACCTTGAAACAAGGTAATTAAAAAGATCTTCTCCTATGGCTTATGGCGGTGTATGTGCTGTATTAATGTGATATTTGACACAACTTCAACCTTGATCTCAGCGTACTCAAGCAATTGTAATGAACATGTAAGTTTGGCACCATACATAGCCAGTTGTAGCGTGTATAAACACAAGATTAGTGAACACGATATGAGGATGTCGGTTGTGTAGAAATTCTTGTTATCTCTTTTGTATGACCATTCTGATCTTTCTGGATTCAGCGTTGCCTCCTTTTGGTATGCCAGAAACCATTGAACGTGGTTTCCAATCTCAGATTCGCCCTGATTATGTCTCTCGGTTTGTCAAATCCGTGCTCATCTGATCATCAAACATAATCAAAGCCTGCGACTTCCAGCACTTCCTCCCCACATCAAGCTAAATAACTGAAACACAGTTTAAGGTTGCGTTGCATCAAACTCCCTCCCTCTCACCAAATTTATTAATCCAGATATATTCATAGTCTTGTGGCATATATTTATATATGTTTATCAAGGAAACTAACTAGGTAATATCTATGATGTCAAAATCAATATTTGAAATATTTTAAGATGCCGAGTTTAAAATGAACAAAATTTTATTATGTTTTGAAAGTTATTATTTGCCAACAGTCAAAAAAAGGCTCCTGTTCTTTTATCCGGTGATGATGACGGTCGCGCATATCTGCTGAGTGCTGCAAAAGATGACATCCGTGACTGGACATACACATTACAGCCATTCCTTGACGTAGGCATGGGAACAGTTGGACAGATCACAGTTGAAGACATAAACAAAGACGGCAGTTTGTACATTTTTGTACCAGCGTATACACAGGGCCAAGTACATGTTTTTCATTACCAGCCTTGATTTTGTCATTAAACAGTATTCCAGCTGTATACATACACGCAACTGAAACTGTATTGTTCTTTATACTTTGTGTTTACAGTTTGTCTTTGTCGAGAAGGGGGATGGGAGTGTGTGTGTGTGTGTGTGTGTGTGTAGGGGGGAGGGGGGGGGGGGGGGGGGGGTATGCTTCATGCAGCTTACGACAGTGTCACAGAACTGCTCACCCTCAACAATAAGCGACTAAGGATACATTTCTTACTACCCCGTCTGTGGTATCCATCGGTGGTCTGCTTGTGGATACCAAACGTTTCATAAAACCGGGAAAGATAGCTTTGTGGATACCAGGTCATATGGAATCAATCACTGTTTGCCTTGAAGGATGCCACACTAGAGATAAACAAAGCATACGTTGAAATATATTGTTTCATAAACCCTGAATAGTATATAGACTACACTCTTAACTGAAATTAAAACAGTCAGGTATTCGGAAGAATACTGTGCACAGAGAAAACAAAAACGAGTACATTTTATTATTGGTTGTACTTCGCAATTGTACATGATGCAATGCAATGGTATGATTAATTTTTTTCAGGTCATTAGTTTACCCATCAGTCAACGTGTGCACAAAAATTAAAAATTAAAATATTAAAGCATATACACTCTCCAAAAAAGACATACACAGGTAGATTTTTAGTACTTTTATTGTACTGTATTGTATTGTATAAAATCGATAAATTAAATTTAATATCATAGATACAAATATGAACTTTTGGAATTCGATAGTCACATGTTGTTGTACAAAAGCATTGAAAAATGTTCATTGTCATGTCTGATCCATTACCAACAATGTGACGTAATTATAGTGAGTGAGTTGGGCTTTACGTCGCTTTGAGCAATATTCCAGCAATATCGACGGCTGGTTCACCAAAAATGGGTTTCACACATTGCACCCATGTGGGGACTCGAGCCCAGCTCTTCGGCGTGACAAGCGAACACTTCAACCACTAGGCGGCCCCAATGTCCCTTTGGAATACAAAACATGGATAGACCAACCAGTTGAGATGAGGAGAGATGCGCTTTAGCCGATTTATAGTGCCAGAGATACCATGCAACTACGAAGCAAAACTGAAGGAATCTTATGAAAACACATTATTCAACTAAACAAGATTGTCAGACGCATCAAATTCGCTTTGCTTTCTCTATTAGTTATGCACAGAGTTACCCAAGAAATTATATTATCCAGTTATATCTATTTTCAATATACGACTACCGATAGATCGAGGGTCCCAATGAGCTTGACGCATCCGACCACTTTCGCGATTTTCAATTTGTTTTCACGGAAAAGGTTAAGCGTGGTGAAATGAAATCAGTTTAAACTTAAACTATCTGAACAGATATCTAGACTTACGTTGGGTGATCCGGTTGTGCCATCAGTGTCCCCTTCGAAAGTTATTTTGTGGCACTGTTTCGGGAGGTGTTTTTTCCATGAATGAACGTACACGACTGAACAACCAAATCACTTACAGTGAACACATCCGATACAAATCATTCGAAAACTTCATGGAAGTGTGCCTGACTTCTGATTTTGTGGTCGTACAGATAACGTGAACTTCGCTGGCGAGCAGCAAGCAGTCTGATCTCCCTCTTCCAAAATGATACAGACAGGATATAAACTCAGCTGATAGATCAAGGAAACCGAACCATTGGTCCGAGATTCAAAGCGTGGCACTTATTAACTGTAAGTTTCCTTACAGTTGTCCTGGAATAACATCAATGCGTTTCTATCAGCATAAGTTCTCCCTAAATTACCTGCTGCAGTTGTCACTGATGACCCACACATTGGATCTACCACCATTCCTGATGGTGGCCTCGAGGATTTTTACTTTCTCCTGATTCCAACCCCTCTTTGTCATTGATCTTTCTGATGACCCCATGTATGTATTGTTAATGTCATTCTATAATCAAATCTGTGATTTACCGATTAAGAAACGGAGGCCAATTAAACAATTTAATCAATCATTTTCACAGAATCAACTTGATAAATTAAATTACATACAGCTCGGAACACTGGAGGAAAGTTTCCAAAGACAATGAACCACAAAAGGTTAATAAACAATGTCACCGAAAGGAAAAACGGTTGCAAATAAAGCTGAATGAAACAAGGAAATATATATCCTGGATAGAACTTTGAAATTGCGTTCCTCAGGTCAATCAATGTTAAAACGCCAAAAAATCAATTCAAATAAAAAGAGAAAATACTAAATCAGATTCCGGATTCTCTGAAACCAAAGTTAAAGGTTTGGATAGAAAGGATAACAAGTTTGACAAGAAAAATAAGTTCATAAAACAAAATAAACTGTTCAAATCTAATGAAAAAACAGTTTTACTGGCAATTAAATGCAACCAAGTGATGACAAAAGAACCACCATGGATTCCAGTCCAGATTTTGGAAACAGTTGTGGTCTATATCCAGCAACTGAAACCTCGAGTGAGTGAGTTGGGTTTAACTCCGCTTTTAACAGTATTCAAGTTATATCACGGTGCGTCAGCTGAATGTGAGAGGAAAGCCCGAAGTGATGCAGGTCTTAGACGTTTTCGGTGAAACCCACGTACATGGGTATTGTGCTGAACCACAATTGGGGCGAACCGGGATTCGAACCCACTATCACAGGTTTCTGGCGTGTCGAAGGGACGCAACTCTGCACAGCGAATTGTGGCACTTTAGACGACTGGGCCACCCGTGCCCTCCCCTGAAATATCGAGAAACCATGGGTAGAGGATGACAATAATAATGTACATGACAAAATAAAGTCACCTTAGTTGCGTTTCATTACATCCGATTGCCTGGAAAAGGTAATTAAAAAGTCCAAATATAATACGGCGCCAGGGCCTGATGGTATTCGAAACCGGTTTTGGTAACTATTCCTATGTGTTCAAACACGCTTTCTTCAAAGTTTAAATTCTCTTGTGGGTGAAAGGGGTGTTCCGCCTTGGTTGTGCAAAGGTCGAACAATATTTGCTTTTGTGTTCTTCACGGAATCCTTTAAGCATTTTGCTTAGCAAAGAGGAAGATTATCACCCTTGATCCGCACCAAAAAACAGATTCTGATTATGACGTGGGCATGTCCTTGGA